GTTTAAGTGTTTATTTTTATATTTACTTTTAAATTAAGAAATTGAATAATGTATAAGACTAAAATTTGAATTATAATCTACAGTTTGATACCAAACTTATTCATATAAATTCATAAAATAGTAGTTCAGTAAATTTTTCGATGGAAGTCAACAAACATCATGACATGACCTTTGACCCATGATCCATAGCGATAGGATTAAATAATTGTCTCGTTTTGTCAAGAGTCCACACAGGCTGGTTCAGTTACTTTATAACCTAATTGACAAGATGAATTATTTTTCTCTACTATGTTATCACAATACAAGCAGTGATAAATTCACTTACATTACCCCATGGGTTACCACAGTTGTATCCAGAGCTTTAAATAATTCTCTTTTACATCAAAAGTCCACACAGTCTGGTTCAGTTACTTTAGAACACCATTTGACAAGACATATTATTCTCCTCTACTCTATTATTACAATACAATATGAGATGATTACACTTTAAAAAATCGCCACTATACACACTTTATGGCTAGACTCATGATCACCCAGTCTAACTTCACTTTTACATTCACTAACTTACTTACTTGCAATAACTTGGTTGCCTATATATATATATATATTGCTCGACTGATGCTTAGGACTTTTCTACAAACTAAGAGATGTTATGATCTAACAATACTCACTTAAAGCGACAAGAAAAACTCAGAAGGTTTGAGTAACATGACATCAATTCACAACAATTGAACTACACAACAAATGATTCGTAAACAGTTATGTAAGCAAACTTGCCATAACTATCACTTCTAAAAATAGCTAAATTTAACGTTTGCACTATATAAACTAAATAATACTCTTGTATTAAACTTAAAATGAAAAGTTGTGTATATCTAACATAAATAAAAGTAATATACTTGTATATTCTTGAAAGAAAAAGTATGCAGTTTGTCAAAAATTTCTTGTTATTAATTTGTAAACTTTGTAAAACATTATCTGCTTTTATGGTATGTTATATTAATCTCTTTTATTTTTGTGTGTGTTTAAACTGTAGCATTAGTATTTTTTAACTGTTAATGAGTTTTTATTGATAACAGTTATCTTTGTTTAAGATAATTGAATGCCATTTTTCATTGCTTTTTTTTTAATGTTTCAGCACATGCTTTACCAATGTTTCGACAAGATCGGCCTCGAAGTACAAAAAAACAACTAGAAAAAGATAGGAAGGATCCCATGATCTCTAAACAGCCAGAACTTCCAATCACGGGACCAGGTCTGTCACAAATCTTTTGTACATCAAATTTCTCTTTGGCATATAAATAATTTGAAATAATCCAAGGCCACGTTAAATAACTTAACTTTTAATAGTTGAGACGTACCATAGATTTAGGTTTAGAAATATGCCGATATTTTATATTATTTACGCTATTCACCAACAAGATTGATTCACACCGATTTTGGTTTTGACACAAATAAGCTTTAATATATATATACAACACTATAATTTACAGTAGCAACTATTATGATTAGTTATTACAAAGTTTCATAAACAGAAATGTCATTAACTTACAAATAGCCTAAAACCGTCTTCCTAGTTCAGAGTCTCCTTGATATCCAGGGAGTTGTAAGTACATATAAAATTTGGCGGGAAGTTAGCTAGCTTTGTCAGGCACTGAATTGTTGTACTGTTGAAGTAAGATAATATTTTCACAAAATCACTAATGTTCGATGAATAATTAATAATATTTTTGGAGAGATATTAACGTTCGATGGGAATTCACTGACGTTCGAAATTCATAACTGTTCCTGGTCAAATGTCGTATATTTTCCGGTTGATTAGGGTTAACAAAATCACAGTTTATAGCTTACATGGTTATAACAGTTTCATAGTAGACCTGTCTCTTCTCTGTTGTCTGCTGTCTGCAGATTTTATAGGCAAATCACAATTTCTAGAAATTTCTGATATACCGGTTACGGAAGTTGATTCTTTGTGTTCACGAGTGTTCTATAATCTTGGAGAATTGGCAGGAATTTTGCCACACATAACTAACACGGTAAGCTATACACGCCCTCAAATATAAACTTATTCGAAACAAACGTTGACATTAAAATAAATATATCTGATAATACAAGTTACACCTATTTCTAAATACAAATTCAATTCAAACAACGTTCATATTAAAAATAAATATATCTGATAATACAAGTTACGCCTATTTCTAAATACAAATTCAATCCAAACAATGTTCATATTAAAAATAAATACATAATAATAAATTTGTTACAAATGTAACAGAGTTTTCCTAACAGTTTTAGTATTGCTGTGAAAAAGTATAAGCATTGAACGTTTTTCTGTGTTGTTACACACTGCATAGAAGTATATTGAACATTCCTCTATTTTATTACATATGGCATGTAATTATGGGATGTATGAAACTTCTTAGATGATGTGAAATGTTTAATGCTTTACAGTTTAATGCTTCAAATGTTTAATGCTTTTACTACAAATCATCCAATATTTACTTACAAACAACAATTATGTTAATATTTGAAATAGGCCAAGGAGGTCGGATTGCATCAGCTGGAAACACGCTGTCCTCGTACATTGTTCGTAACCTTGGAATAAAGAAAAAAGAAGATGATAATATCGATCCCCGGGAAGCAATTTTACGTCATGCCAAAGAGGCAGCTGAGAATCCATACTGGATTTCTCCAGCTTACTCCAAGTATGTTTATTATCTAAGTTTTGGAAAACTGCACAAAAAAAAATTAAACTTTTTTTGTTGTTGTTGTTGCCATGAGTGTTAAGGGTCTTTAATATAACAAACAGTAGTAGAAGATGATATTTAGAGGGAACTAATAACCATTATATACAAGACATCGAAATTTTTATATTAATAGGAGCTGTTTGTTGCCTTAGAAATATTAACTGTGCTATTTTACTTCTAGAATACAAAATTTTTGGAATACAACTACAGGGGTGTTGGGCTAACATAACTGAAAAATATATGTAACAAAAAATAGTTATTTGAGGTTTAATGCTTCACAATCTCTGTAGCTGTTTATTAAAACATGTAATACTTGTCAAGTTATTTCCTAAAAATCATAGAAACTTATTTTTGATTATGAAACTTTATTTGATATAAATTATAAATAACTTTTAAAACTTACTTTTGATATTTATTTCTTAATACCTATATTCAGTCAAATAAAAACTTTTATTTAGAATCAACAGTAGAAAGTGTCCACACTAAAAATAATCTAAGTGAAAATCACTAACTAGAAAAAATAGTTGGTTAAGTTTTGTGTTCTGGGTTTGTGGTTGATATATTTATAATTCTTATTATTAATGAAAAAATATTATTATTATTACTTCAGAACCCAGCCTAAACCAGTGTTCCAAGAGGTAGAAGAGGAAGAGGAACCCACTCTGAAAAAAACAAAATTTTCTGTATAAATATTTTTAGACAAACAGGAATGTTTCATATGTACAAGATGTATTTGTTTCTCATTATCCTGGAAGTGCTTATTGGGCACAGAAATTTATTAACCAGTTGTTATAAACAGAATGGGGCTTTAATGTCAGGATATTTTTTACACTAAAGGTCAAGAACAAATGTTCTATTTACATTTTTAACTTTTTGGTCTACCAGCCAAACGAACTTGCATTTTTTTTAATAAAGGAAACTGTAAAAATTAAAATTATTTAAGTAAAAAACAAGTAATTGTGAAAGCTAGCTAAATTCGCATGGTCATGAAGTTAACTAAAATTCCAAATATGTTTTCAGAATGCTTTCTCTATCAGTTGGAGCAAAAATGAAGAGGAAAATACTTTTCAAAAGAAATCAATCTTGTTTTTCACTATTGAATATTTAATCAATTTGTAACATTTTACATTGTATTATACTAATTCCAAACAAACACTAAGCAGACTTTATAAAATATGAATTTCAGGGTTTATTTTGTGTGTCAAACCTTCACTTTGTAATATAGAGTAAACATGACCTACATTGCAAGATTAAATACTTTTAGACTATTAAACATTTTCTTCGTAGCTTCAGATATGTAACATCACATACATGTCATTCTAATTAAATGGTAGTAATCTTATTACTGATATTATGACCGTATAAAATGTGTTGATGTTAGTTTTTTTCATCAGTCAGATAGTTATTTTTAAAATGAGACACCTAGTGAGAACTTACAAGAATTCAACACTGTACAACAATTTTTGTTTAACTTTTTATTATGACTTATCCATTACTTTGTAATGTAATTTTAAAGAATTTTTAATTATTGACATGCTTCTAAACTTTTTTTTTCTAGCCAATAAAACAAGTTATTAATAGCTTTATGGAGACTAGAGTAAGAAAGCAAGCTCAGAAATATAAAAATAACATATCAGTTGTGAATCAAACCTCGAGAAAATCTGTTTTAGAACTTGATCTGACAAAGAACAACTGTACAGAATGGACTTTTTTGTTTTAACAGGTTACAATTATTATTATGTTTTTCATGAAAGAATTCATGTTTTCTTTGTATTCATCATGGAAAATTATAGTCACGAAGTAACTGCTTTGAAAAAAAAAAGGAATGGAGACTAGCAGATCATCGAATAATATATGCTTGGATGTGTTTAAAACTAACAGTCAGTTATGACAAATAGTCATGATCTCCTGTTGTTTCATCTCTGAAGTGAGACTCTCTCAAACATGTATTCAACATGTCAAGTATTTTATGTGAATTGTAAATAATTGATGTGAAACTTCTATTGTTTCTTCTCTGAATTGAGACTTCCTCAAGCTGGTATTATTTACCATGACATGTATGTTTTATCTCTTAAATAACAATTGAAGTGTTGAGGAAAGAAAGGGGGGGATTCTATTACTAATATTGAGAAATAGCTGTAAAACCTGTTATTCAAGAAACTTGTCTCACAAAGCTTAACGAAGTAAAAATAAATTTAACTTTATTGTTCAAATTCTGATTCTAAGAGTTCAATACATGTAAACATATAGCCACCTAGTTTATGATGTGGGCTCTTGTGCAGACTATATTTGATCAGAACAGAAAAGTTTAATAGTCAAAGTAAATATAGGAAATGGGAGAGATTGGGTGTATCCAGAAATATATGTGATATAAACAGTAACAGGAAAACATTGAAATACCTGACAAATTACAGAAAAAAAAGAAAGGGGTAAACCAGCCGGTACAAACTATCGAAAAATATGTGAAAAGCATAGAAAAAGGAAAGCTGTAAGTTAACCGGTACTCTTGACAAGCTACGTAGGCACATGTGATAAACACATGAATACAAAGTCGAACACACACACATAATCGTTAGTCTTCTCGTTTAGTTACAATTTACGGGGAAATATTTAGAGATAAATTATTAATAAAAATCATAATTTTAGTAAACTTTATCAGGAAAGAGTGTTATGGAATTTTCATTTAACATCATTATTTATAATCATTCATATCACACGTCTATCTCGTTTAGCTATGAATGTAAGGTTGAAAAAGCCACTTTGAACAATTTCAAATCTAAATATGTGTTTTGATGTAAATTTTGTTTTTTCTTTAAACCAGTACATGATACAAAAAAAACTACTATTCAATAACACGTTGGTGAAGTGGGCAAAGTTCTTGTTATAATTGTTTGTATTATCCTGCAATAGCGTTTCTCAAACTTGTGTCTGCTAGTCATGTCCGACATTTTATAAAAACTTAACGGCGGTTTCTACTCGTGGTGAGAAGAGCTCAAATAGTTCATTATGTAGCTTTGCGCTTAATTACAAAACAACCAATAACAACATAAAAATATTTAAAAAATATGTTTTATAGAATAAAAAATACTTTTCGTAAAATTAAACTTATATATGTATTAAAACATTTAATTTTGGAATACAGCTTTACATGGACATGGAATATTTTTTCTTTTCTTTTTTCAAAGCAAGGTTTGAAGGTCCGCAAAAAAAAAAAGTTTAATTAAAAGGAATCCTCGGTTTAATAAAGTTTGAGAACCGCTACCCTGAACAATAAGGTGCTGAACTTCATTTTTCAAGGTGTGGTACAAGGCTGTACCATGGGCTACCCCTCCACGTTAATTAATATGTAAATTATTAGAATTTTCTGTAACTGCAGTTCAGTGTGAACTCGGAGAGTCACCCAAGTAAACAACACAACTTTCTGGTACACACGAGAGACGGATCCACTAATTGGCGGGTAACCATGTTTTCGTACAGGAAAAATAGCTCTTGACATTTTGAAGTAGACAACTAGCTGTAAGCGAGTGGATAATGGCCAGGAGTTTTCACGCAATTTCGCTCGGATCGTAGTGGGCGGAAGTCACGTGTGTAAGATGTGGTCGGTCCGATGTTTTGCAAACCTGGAAGTTTTAGTGTTATTATGTTTAGTATTCAAATCCAGGTTCTTCATTTCTAAGAATAACTTTTTGCAGAGTCGTAAACTTGAAATAACTTTTGCATGATTTAGCTCTTGTTTGACTAGTTAGATTTTCACTGAACATTGATAACTTGTTTTGACTTCTGTTTTAATTCAACTTTGGATATTTAGTATAGCTTACAGAGGGGGCTCACACTAAACTAGAAAGATAAATCCTTTAAAGATTTCTCCATTCTTAACAGTTCAACACACCCAAAACAAACACCTGCCCGTGTTTGGCTTTGACTCTGCTTTGTTTAATACGCATTAGTGATGTGAACCTTTCGTGTTTCAACTCTTTCTTCATAATGAACTCGGAGTTTTCCGAACCTCCAGTTAGCGGGCCATAAACTGTTATGCGAGAAATCTTTCGCTGGAAAATACCACATAAGGTATTACAAAACATTTTGAAGTTTGTCTCATTTTTAAATAACCATTTGAGGTTTTGAAGTATGAATTTTCTATAATTTCTTTAGGTATATAATAAGTTACTTACATAAATGCCTACCTGTGACTCAACGGTAAGTCTGAAGGCTAGAAATCGAGTTTCGATACCCACGGTGAGCATAGTACAGAAAACCCATTGAGTATCTTTGTGCTTAACATAAATATACAAACAAAATTTACATAAATATATAGAATTTTGATAACCTAACAATAATTGCACTTCAAACATTTATTAGCATGAGAAGCTTTTCTAGAAAATAAGGAAGTTACGAACTATGTAGAAGTTACTAAGCTCGTAAAAAAAAATTGAAAATATCAAAATTTCTTAATTAGTAGTACCTTTTTTATATAAAAATATATATGTATACAATATTATTCATGAGTATTTGGCTAGTATACACATTCCTAAACAGCCAACCTGGAGTGCTACTACACACAATATTATTTAGTATTGCGATATATAAATGATAAACAAATTTTAATTAGAAATCAACTATGTAAGTTGTACCATCGAGCTTATCCATAATTTAAATTAAGACGTATCTTTAAACCTAAATGTAGGTTCAATGTTATTTTACGTTTAACTGCCGAATATATATATTAAAACCCATGCATTAAACGAATGTAATGAACTTATAAGTAAAGGATAATTTAAAGGCATCGCAAGAGCGAATCACGAACAAGGACTGCGCATAAAAGAAAGTACTGTCAATAGACTTCAATCCAGGTTAAAAGAGCAAACTTGTGTAGTTCGGTTGTAAAGACAGATTACATCTTTTTTTATATCCGACACTGCTCCTACGAGACACAAACCAGGTCTCTTGTCCTTTCCAGAAGTAACTGAAATGTTTGTTCGTTTTAGAATTAATGCGCAAAGCTACACAAAAGCTATCCGTGCATAACCATCCCAAGCTTTGAACTGAAAGGCTAGAGGGAAGGCAACTAGCCAACAGCAACCATCGCTAATCCTACGCTATCCTTATATAATTGGCTAGTGAGATTTGACCATAGCTATTATAGTATATCCAAAGTGTGGAGCGCTTTGTTCTTATAGCAACGGGAAACCCTGGATTCACAATCCGAGTATATTAACCACTAAACCACCACCAGCCCATAATTTAAAAGAGTATAATATTAGTAATATTAGTATAATAATTATTAATAATTAGTATAATATAGTATTAGAAAATCGATTCGTCTGAAGCCACACCTAAATTCCTTTTAAACTTCAATTTTTGTTTGCTAAATGCTTAAAGGTTGAAGAAATGTTACCAATTTTTTGACAAATGAACCAACAGTTTCGAGATCCAGAACAACCAGCAAACTGAGCATCTGCTATAAGAACCCACAAAATCAGTAATACATATTCGTAACAACCTTCTTAACCAATTTTTATTTCCTCAACATGGAGGAGCATTTCTCGACATGTGTGGTGTTCGTTTTCATTTTCACTCGAAATATTTCAGCCAAATTGGTAAGTTAGATAAGGATTGTCTTATTATAAAACTTTCTTTTCTTAATATTGAAGCTAGCAGAACAATTTAAATCAAATAACTACTCCCGCCCTACTGTGGACGTATTATTTTCATTCCTTTGTATGTGAGTGAATAGCATACTTAAAAAGTGTTTTTTTTTTTTAAAACAAATTCGGTTCAAAGTTCCACAAGGACCGATTCATTAACTTTGATGAATTTAGATTGCAAATCAAGCTCACACCGAAGGTGAACCACATAATTAAAAAAAAAAATTCCGTTTGATGTTGCTCAAGTTTCGTATAAACATTTCGAGTGTCACCCAATGACTAATTGGTTAAATTAATGAATATAGCTCAAAAATCAAGGTCACACTGACGTTGATTCCACTTACGTTATAACAGTAGCGAATAGGATTTTGAAAAAAAAAATCAAAAGTCCAATAATCACGAACAAACTGAGATATGAAAGAAATATATAAATCTTAGCACTTAAACTTAAATCTTTTAGGGTTATGAATTGTTTGGTGTATATTTTAGGTTGTTTACTGACGAAAGTAAAAAAAAAAAAAACATTACGGGGAGGGTTTGTTTGTTTGAATTTTGCACAAAGCTACACGAGGGCTATCTGCGCTAGCCGTCCATAGTTTAGCAGTGTAAGACCAGAGGAAAGGCAGCTAGCCATCACCACCCACCACCAACTCTTGGACTACTCTTTCACCAACGAATAGTGGGATTGACCGTTACATTATAACGCCCCCACGGCTGAAAGGGCAAGCATGTTTGGTGGGACGGGGATTCAAACCCTCAGATTGCGAGTCGAGCTCCCTAACCACCTGGCCATGCCGGACTTACGGGGCGGAAGTGGCTTTTTCTGAAATGTTTTCTATGTTATTAGAAATTTAGTGGAATCGAACTAACCCAAGTCTGAGGAAAGCAGCTTTCTTTGGAACAATAAAGTGTTTGTATACTATTCATTTATTGCTTAATTAGATTCAGTTTGAAGTGAGAATTACATAACACGTATAAGTATACTTAAACACCATAAACATCTCTACCGTTAAAAATAAATCAAGCACTTGTATCTGACGGTTATTTGGTCGTTTCAGTTGGTGTCTTTCCTAGAGTAAGAACGTTAGTGAGTTCTTATTAACACACCGCCCCCCCCCCAATGGCAAATCGGTATGTCTGCGGACTTACAATGCTAGAAACCGGGTTCCTATACCCGTGGTGGGCTGAGCACAGATAGCCCATTGTGTAGCTTTGTGCTTAACTTCAAACAAACAAACATTAACACACCAGAAAAAGACATCTCTGAAAGAAATCATTAATTAATCTGCCATTCTCTAATTTCTAGACTTCTATTGGGTTGATGACATGCAAATACTTATATAATAGTAATTTTTATAGACGAAGGTTTTAGTGAGAGGAAAAAAAAAACGTATTTAGTACTTCCAGTTTATCTTCGTAGATGTGTATGATATTTTTCTATTCATATTTTAGATTTTATAATAACTGTAGACATAAGACTGTATAATTATGTTGAAATTATAATTCCTTTGCTGATCAGATTACTCCCTACTTGTTTACTGTTTATTTATTTTTCAAAAATATTACTAAATAACTTTGACGGTTTTGTTTTATATCTTATGTAATGGTGCAAACACATGTTTTCGGGTTAAACATTTACAGCATTTTCTTATACGATAATTATAACTATGTTATTACAAATAACGTTAGTACCGAAAAGGTTTGATTGAGATGCGTCTTTTTTTTTTAAAGTAAAATAATTAGAATGTCAGAGAGAGAGTATACTTTTAGATGATAAACTAATGTTTAAATATTTTGGTTTGTGGATATGTAAATCTGAATATTTCATCTTCTAAAATATTAAAGCACGTCAGTATTTATTCAGTATTATCACGTAATTTAATTATAAAATGCGTCTTTAAGTCATATGCTTATTTTTATCGTTAATGATTACATTGCTGTGTTACTAGCGGAAAAGGTGCAACATAAAAAGACACAGTTGAGTATTATGTTGGTTTGTCTTTCTTTAATATATTAACAAATATGTGACATATGTTTGAAGGTATTCAGATTCTCTCTTTAAAGGCTTGTGGTATACAAAGGTATTAAGAATCTCTAGAAAGGATTGTGGTATACAAAGGTATTATGATTCTCTAGGAAGACTATTGGTATATAAAGGTATTAAGAATCTCTATAAAGACTAGTGGTATATAAAGATATTAAAATTCTCTATAATGGCTTGTGGTATACAAAGGTATTAAAATTCTTTATGAAGGATTGTGGTATATAAGTGCAGTGAATCTTCGTTGTTTTTAAAGTTTTTCCCGATTTTTACTGCTGTTTTCTCTCTCTTTGTAATTAAAATTTTTTACCAATTTCTCGCCATCTGCAGTTCGCACTTTCATACAAAACGCCTACAGTAAACGTTCTTGTGGTATTGGGCACATGTATTTTCTTTCTTTTATGTTTTTTTTTCTTTACATGCACGAAAATAAAATGTGATTTTTGTTTACTTTTTATATTGTTAAAACTGTGGCTATATATATATATATATATATATAATGTGTCATTTCATTTCAGACGTATCTTAGTAGTTAATGTGTTGGTCTGCGTATTGAAAGGGCTAGTGTTGGAGCTCATGATATGCAAGATCATACACTCCACACTTTCGGCTCTGAATGTATTATAAAAGTGACAGTTAGTCCAATTTTACGTAAGGGTAACAATGGAAACGACAGATGCTGCTGACTGGTTGTGGTCAGTAGCTCTAAATTAGAGACAACCATGTATGAACCTTGAGTCTCTGACTTGTTCGTTTACCCATGTGTCACATAAAGTGCCGTTTATAGATTAAAAGTACCTCAAGTGCTTTCTTTTTTTTTTAGTGAAAATTTATGTGAAATGTTAAATAAGGTTCATACTGTGTTTATGGAATTTTTAATAGCAGTGACAAAGATTTTGCTGGTTTACGACTCAACAATAGAGAGATTATGCTGTTTTACATCCGTATCAATATAAATATTTTCCGTTTTAGGTCAATAACAATAAAGAGATTGTACCATTTACTCCTACATAATAGATACATGACAGGTTTTTCTTACTATCTAAAGAAGGTACGAGGATAATGGTCAACTAAATCTTAAGCAAAGTGGCCTTATTGTTCTTAATGTTTTTAGGACCCTTTCTCAGTGGCTCAGCGGTAAGTCTAAAGGCTTCCAACGCTGAAAGGCCGGTTTCGACACCCGTGGTGGACACATCTGATAGCCTACTGTGTAGGTTTTGTGCTTAACAACAAACAAATATACAAAACAATATATTTTTAGTGTTCTTGTTTACGGTCTATAAAATCCTAAAACTATCTTCTAACACTCGAATCTGTGTATTCATAACCTAGATCTGTTTCATTGAACTGCTGCTTGCCATTGTTTGCGCCAGCAAATAATTCTAAAACTTGTCTCTAAAAGTCGATATCGGCGAAAAGAAACATGCTTGTATATTTTATGTATCTGATATTTGAAACCTGAACAGCACCTTATAAGACACTTGGGCTAAAAGGTCAGGTCAAAGATAACATAGCTGCTCCTAATTTGGAACTGCTGATCAGAAGGCGAACAGCCAGTCAGAGAGTGAACAGTAAGTCAGAGAGCGAACATGACTACTGTTAATATACCCCCCCCCCCCACAAATGTCACAGCGGTATGTCTGCAGACTTACAACGCTAAAATCGGGTTTCGATACTCGTGGTGGGCACAGGTCAGATAGCCCATTCTGAGCTTTGTGCATAACTACAAACAAAGAAACAAACTATTGTTTGATAACGCACCAACAGCTGAAAGTACGGAGCGTATACATCGGCATATATATATATATGTGTGTGTGTGTGTATGTGTATGTACATATATCTATGTGTGTATGTATATATACATATGTATGTGATTAGCTAGCCGATCTTGACAGATCGGCAAGCTGACCATTAGGCTATGCCAGACCCTTATATTTGAGGGATTGCATACAGAAAACTTCTAAATAATTCATACACTTTTTTAGTATACTTATATGCAATCTCAATAAAATGTTATACTAAATATCATAATTATTCTTTAATTTGTAGTTTAGTACTGGTATATAGAAGAAACACAACAACTTAACTTACAAGTTCTTATTAGTGGATTTTTATAACTCCATGTAGAACAATTCTCTCCATTCATATGAAGATAAATATAATTTTCGTGATGAATATTGTTAAGCTTTCAAAATAAATTAGATAAAGCGTGTTAAACATGTTACAAACACCAGAAATTTATTTCGTCATTCTTCACACATTGCTTCTACAATAATTAACAGCGAGAATTTTAACACCCTACTGCTCTTACAATTGAGAAGTTTTCTTGCTAACTTAGAATGAGCCAAGAAATGAAAACATAAACTTGATTAGTATAGAAATCAGCGTAATTTAAAAGTGAGTTTATTGTTTACTTCACACTAAAACATCATTTATATTGATTTCAGTATAGCACTATTTTTTTTCGAAATCATTTAAACCGGTTTTAATATTATGATTTCAGTATATCTATAAAGAAACCCAAAATCACGTGGATTTTTGCATTTATTAAATATGCTTTGAAATTTTACCAAAATTAACCTCTCTCTTGCCATAATATTATATTTAATATTATATAATATTTTACTTCGATGAATTATTTAGAAGAATGGTTGAATATGGTAAAATTAACCTTAATGAAGTTAACAAGTTCGAAATCTACCTGTCAAAGAAAATAAAAACCAGAAGCCTTCCTCAATGTTAAATAATAAAACAAAAGCCTTGTCGTTATACGTACCCACTTTATCATGTAAATATATTTGATTTGAATGCTTTGTGTCTTAATTATTATAAATGACAATTTGAATGATACTATATTTCTATATTTAAAAGGTAACGAAATTTTCAACAGAAATCAATGAAATATCCTTGTTTATATCCAAATTATTGTTATAGTCTTAATACAGTATAAAGAAAAATAAATATAGCAGTACTAATTTAATAAACAAAAAGCATGAAGCTCAGGTTTTCGTTGAGAGCAGATTGCGACGAAAAAAAATCAATCATATCAGGACAGTTTAGAAACAGAAATAGACACTTGAAAATTTATATTAATAAAAAATAACGCGTGTGATGATTGTATGTATTTGAAGAAACAAACCAGGGAATAAAATATTATTGCAATATATTTTTTTCAGAAACTAAACTATGACTCGCAAACTTTTAATAAAAGTGAACTCATCTTCTTAAGATATAATTACAACATTCTAATTCAGGTCTAATTAAACCAGCAAAAGGCTACTGGTTAACTAGATACTGTCCCTATTACGTGCATGAACCATTCATTACGATGAACAAACTTGTACTTCCATCAGAGATTCACGCCTTGCCTGCAGTGAAAAAAACATGTACTCCGATGGACCTTTTGATTTGTTCATCATTAAGAAATGTGACAAGATCTTGGTGCCAACTTCAGAGATAGACGATGACATTCACACCGTTCACGCTTCATCGCTGGCTACTTGAACAATGGTTAGAATGAAAAATTCAGTAATTTATCCGGACCTTACCCTCCCATGGAACGTGGAGAGGTTTCACGTTCCATTTACCTAAAAGCCACACTGGATCAGCAGGAAAATGAGTTAGTTGGAAATGGGTTGAGGAAACATTCTGCAGGGGTTGTATACCTCTCGAGATGAACATACACGATAATAAAGCCGGTGTAAACATATGTGAACCGTATTATTTTATATACCTGAGGCCTGATATCACTGCAGAAAGTGTAGCATGCAAGAAGGCTCTTGCGGAGCAACACCATTTTCACACCTTAGTGTAAGGTGTTTTGTTTGTTTTGCTGAATTTCGCGAATAGCTACTCGAGGACTATCTGCGCTAGCCGTCCCTAATTTTGAAGTAATAGACTAGAGGGAAAGCAGCACTAACACTACCAAGTTACCAACTGCCAATTCTTGGGTTACTCTGTACCAACGAATAGTGGGCTTGACCGTCAAGTTATAACGACCCCCCAAGCATGATCAGCGACAGGCTTCGATTCCACGACCTGGAGATTGCAATTTCAGTTCCCTAACCACCAGACCCAAGTGCAATATGATTTGTTCTCAGGAAAAGATCACATTTCATATTGATTAATAGTTTGCAAGTTGTAGTTTAGTTATTTTGAAAATACGTACCAATTAATTGTTGAATCTATTTTCCCAGTATACATCAGGCTAATATGTGGGTACAGCACAACATTATATGTGTTTGATAAGCAAGGAAGTATTAGAATAACAAGTGTTGTTAAAAAATTAAGTACATAAAGAAGCATCAGTGCGACAATATACCCTTGATAATAATTAAATAAATACAGAAGTATTAACGCAGTAATATACGTTTCACAATGATTGGATAAATAAGAATATTTACGTTGGATAGTAATTTAGAAGGAATATAAATACCAACGAATGTCTAACTATAACTGAATAAAACTCCTATAGAATAAAAATGTTATCGTATATAATATCCTACTAACAGCTTTTAATCATTCAGTAACCAACGATAATGTTAAGTATCCGGACATCAATACGCGTTTAATAACTAAAGTATCACTATGACAATATAAATTTCGTAATTATTAAGTAAATAAAGAGGTATCAGTACAATAATTTACTTCTCATAATGGCTGAGTAATTATAAGTATAGTTACAGCAATATGTCTAGCACTTTTAAGCACCTTAAAATTATCAGTATGATAATATGTTTAGTAATTTCTAAGTAGCTAAAGAGACATCAGTACATTAAAATTAGTGATGATAATAAAATTAGTTCAATTTAGCATGAAAGAGTAGAAAATATTAAAAAGTACTAGTATCTGCTTGTTTAACAATAACTAAAGCAAGTTAATAATTAGTAATACGCTTTTTACGAATACCATGCAATAATAAAATAATAACATTTTACATAAAGTAAGCCTTAAGATAACATAAAAAATATCCAATGTTCAGTTTTGTAACCATTAATGAAATAATATCAAAAATAACATATATTTTAGTTCTCGTAGACATTTTGTTCTTTATTTTTAAGGTTGTGCACACGTCCCGCCCTTGTAGAGATATTTCACTTCATTTGCATAAAGAACTGGTTCTCCAACTGGACAAAATAGTTCCCTGAAAAGAAAAATATAATTGATGAATTATTCAGCTTTCGTGATCATGTCCAGTATATTTATAATGATAAATGCTTCATTCTAACCATGCTAGTATGGTAGCCACCTAAAATTACCTTTTGAAGGTGTTTAACAATTTCGTTTAAAGATGAGACTTCCCGATATTATGAGGGTGATCACAAGCTTCAAAATTTGAATTCTTAAGCTCCGGTCTTCTAAAGTCTCTAAATTTGATTATTCATTATTTAGAAGGTTCAAATATGTATTTCTAAAAATCCTGTCAGAAGGTGTCTTTTTTTATGGAATGTATAGCTATGTTAGAGAAGAGAGTTTTCAACTGTGTGTGATATCTGATTTCTAATCCTAGACGATAAATACAACCAAATCCAAAAAATATCAGTGCCCATAAGCTAGGTGTAAAATACACAAAGTTATCGTTGAGTTGGTAGACTCTATACATAGGGATGGCCAAGTACTCAACAGGCATAATACAAATATGCACGCTAAAAAAATCAACAATGACAGAAAGTTTTACTTTAAAGAATAATTGCCATTCACTTTCTTTGTTTCTTTACCCAACAAAATAAAACAACAACAACAAAAAAAAAAAAACGAGGAAAGAAACCATAGCTAAGATACTAAACCAGAAAGTGACCAACTCACCAAATTGTTAATCTTTCTTCTTCTTGTTTCAGTCGAGATAACTCTACAACTGTTTTATCACTATCGTCAGTTTAAACTTAAATTCCCTCTATGTGTTTCTGTGCAGTGCACGATGTAATCGCATAATCGTAATAACTGGTAGTAATTTAAAAAAATAACAATAATTCTAGTGTAAACGATGTTATCATTACCCATAGAAGTTAGCTTTCTTACAAAAATTTGGTGTTCCTTTCACAAGGTGAAACAGGAATTACCAGCAAGGGGGAAAACGTCACAAATCAAGTAATATAAAACATTTGGTAAATGTAAAACTTTGTAGGGATGGCAGCGCCAAGAAGAATGCAAACAAGAACATAGGGATGATACATTTTGTACTAATGTATTTTACAGTATAGCATTAAATTTTAATATTGAAAGTCGTGTAGGGATGATACATGTATCATCCCTGTATTGTTGTTTGCATTATTTTTGGCACTGCCATCCCTACATCGTTTTACATTTACAAAATGTTTCTAACGACTTATGTATATAAATTTTATTTGGGATTACTTGAGTGATTCACCAATCCAAATGAAATAAGACCTAAAAAGTTGGGTTTGTTTAATATGAGACCAACGTTTTATTTTTTTTGATAGAAGTATAATCCAAGTCCTCTTCCAGGTTCTTAGATATTAGCTTCCGCTTACAGGAGTATATCTTGGTTTTAATCAAGCTACTGCATCTCAAACGCAGCAGGTCTTAGTTTCCACTTATAGGGGCAGATACATAGTTGATTGTAACCAAGCTACCGATTCTGGAAGCTGAAGGTCTTAGTTTCCACTTACAGGGGCAGATACATAGTTGATTGTAACCAAGCTACCGATTCTGGAAGCTGAAGGTCTTAGTTTCCACTTACAGGAGCAGATACATAGTTGATTGTAATCAAGCTACCGATTCTGGAAGCTCAAGGTCTTAGTTTCCACTTACAGGGGCAGATACATAGTTGATTGTAACCAAGCTACCGACTCTAGAAGCCGCAGGTCTTAATTGCCGCATCATTGATTTATAAAAAATTAAATCATAACGTTTTACTAAGAGTTTGTTTTGTTCACATCTACACTAGACTCTGATGGGTAAGGTAATTCACTCTTACTGTTTTTCTTGTTTTAAACTGTCCAAACAATAGCCACATAACTCTGTTTTTACGCTTACCTGATTCCACTTTCCAAATTATTTACTTCAAATCGTTCGATTGGAAGTGCTGGTGGTTTGCTATTGTAGCCGTCTTGCTTGTTGAAACTGTCGAAGGTATAATCGTAGGAAGGTACTTGTAAAGGTCGCCACTCCACGTCCAGCCTGATAATACTGCCAAGATCTTTCGAACTTAGCAAGAACTCAACAGCTTTTTCAGGTGTGAAGTCAACAGGCCTAATGAAAGGAAAATTCGTAATATTACTCAATTACTGAAATTCGTCAAACGATAAAAATACTATATTTAGGAGGTACAACACATAAAACAGTAACAGAAACTTATCAATCTCATTCGTTCACTTATTTTTTCTTCACATTGATACTCTATTATATAGCACATATAGGATAAAGGTATAACAATATCTTACTTACTATTCCATTATATATATATAATTTGACATAATTCGGAGTAACAACATAGGTTTTTTTTTTAAAGTGACAAAGTAAGCGTTTTAAAAATACGTTTCATCTAATTAAGTATTTGATTACATTATAATTTACTTTTATTATCAATCGGTCCCTTTTATCAAACGTGGATACTTACAGTTTGGATTGCACATCCAATATAAAAACAATATAATCGAATATTCAAAAATATTAAAAATCTTCTCATGTTTACTTAATTAGTTTTGGTTTTGATTCATTAGTGTCCGTAATGGTTTTTGCAGAAGTAATAGTATTATGAACCAGGATTAAATACGAATGGAACGGTCTGGAATGGAGTTTTGCCTCTTGAGGAGTTGAACTATAAATGTTCCTGGTCTTCTGATTGTAATGTCAAATTGGATCAAGAATGAGAGTTTTTCCTCTTTCATAATCCCAATTTAACCACTTCAACTGCCATAAGAAAAACATTATCTTTAATTAGTAATTTTAGAGTTCGATGATGGCGATGACAAGATACGTGAAAATTTTACATGTCATATCTTACTTATTCGTTTCATGTTTTATTTTATAAATCCCTGAAAAAAGAAAAGAAAATCTAGTCCTCACGTCTCTTAAAAATCATAAAAAATCTAAATTTATTTTTTACTTTCTCGTGGCCTGGAGGGGTTGTGTCTGCTTTTTTGATCCTGTAAGGCGCAAAAACATGAGCCCTCGAAGTGGGCCTAACTTGGAGCTATCGTCATCTTTGTCTGTCTTCTTCCTTTCTGCAATCTCAGCTTTCACGTGATAATGGTAGCCTATGGAGAGAGATGGAATTGATACTTTGAAAGTTGTTTTATTTCTTATTTATTGCTGTACGTAATAGTAGTAGTAAGTTACACACGTGCACTGAGTTCAACCTATACATAATATTAAAACTCCAAAGAAACTATAGTGTTGTACTTAAGATGTTGATTACGGAAAAAAGTGAAAACAACATATAGTTGCATTGTATTTTCACGATAGCAACAGTTGTTCGGAAATTGGTTGAACCTCTTAGACTGTTTAGCCCTTCTATCAAGATATCGAGTTATCCGACAAAAATATGATTTATCTACTTCATTATACCTGAGATGTGTGAAAAATATAGCGGTTAATGTTTTATTAATTTTTAAGGTGCGGGACCAAAATTCACCAACATACAAAGTATAATATCTGTTGCTTTTATTTAGAAAACGCTGGTTGTTGTTACTTACGACGCCCTGGTGTAAATTCTATCCGAACTATCTGTTTATTGTAACTTACGACACCTTAGTGTAAATTCTATCCGTACTATCTGTTTGTAGTTACTTACGACACCCTGGTGTAAATTCTATCCGTACTATCTATTTGTTGTTACTTATGACACCTTAGTGTAAATTCTATCTGTACTATCTGTTTGTAGTTACTTACGACACCCTGGTGTAAATTCTATCCGTACTATCTATTTGTTGTTACTTATGACACCCTGGTGTAAATTCTATCCGTACTATCTGTTTATTGTTACTTATGACACCTTAGTGTAAATTCTATCTGTACTATCTGTTTGTTGTTACTTACGACACCTTAGTGTAAATTCTATCCGTACCATCTGTTTGTTGTTACTTACGACACCCTAGTGTAAATTCTATCCGTACTATTTGTTTGTTGTTACTTACGACACCCTAGTGTAAATTCTATCCGTACTATCTGTTTGTTGTTACTTACGACACCCTTGTGTAAACTCTGTCCGTACTATCTGTTGATTTTTACTTACGACACGCTGGTATACTCTTGCCAACAGATAAGTACATCTTGACGGATTCAGTTTTCTTGTACTGCTGCCAGTTATCAGCTTTGAATCCTAGCGATGCACATAGAGAGCCGTTACCACAGCCATCGGTACATCTGCCAGCTGTAAAGTTATGGTAACTGTCACACACATAGCCGTAGAATGGACAGTCAGTGTTAATAGATTCCGTAAACAGCTGCCAGGATGGGACGGCGTCACAGTCGCCATAATGACCTGTAAAAGAAGTTGCAATATAAAGTTATAAAAAACAGTTCAAAATAATATGATGAAATATGGTCTGTTTTCAAGGAAATATGATATGATACGAGATGATGTCTAGATAACATTGTTCAGGCTGTTGTAGAAAATAACATTGAAATACGGACCGTTGTCAAAAACATGGTTCAGGGTTTATCCACTGAAATACCAGCTAGTGTCAAAAACAACATTGATTGTGATTATTTGCTGAAATACGGACCGTTGTCAAAAACATGGTTCAGGGTTTATCCACTGAAATACCAGCTAGTGCCAAAAACAACATTGATTGTGATTATTTGCTGAAATAAGGACTGTTGTCAAAACAACACAATTCAGGTTTATCTACTGAAATACGGGCTATTATCAAAAACAACACTATTTATGATTAGCTGTTAAAATACCAGCTGTTGTCAAAAACATTGTTATTCAGGGTTATCTGTTAACGATTGAAGTTAAGCAGCTACGCTTTCAACAAAAGTTAGGAATAGCTACTGAAATATAACTTGCAAACCATAGTTATAGATGAGACTAGCCACAGCTAAAACCCATTTGTAGTGTCGTTACAAACCACGGCTACAGATGAGACCAACCACAGCTAAGATCCATTTGTAGTGTTGTTACAAACTCGCGTTATAGATAAGATTAGCCACAGGTAAGACCCGCTTGTGGTGTTGTTACAAACCACGGCTACAGATGAGACCAACCACAGCTAAGATCCATTTGTAGTGTTGTTACAAACTCGCGTTATAGATAAGATTAGCCATAGCTGAGACCCGCTTGTGGTGTTGTTACAAACCACAGCTACAGATGAGACCAACCACGACTGAGATCCATTTGTAGTGTCATCATACATCACTACATGCGGGTTTCAGTCATGGTCAGTCTTATCTGTAGCTGTGTTGATTTTGACAGGGCTCTTGAGTTATGTTGTCACACATTAAGAACACTGTCAAAATCTATGTTTAATAACCATTAGAAAAAAAAATGAAAGCCGTAATTTTGGAGATATAATAACTTTACAAGCAGAAACACCTGCTTGGTGAGGAGATTCCAGTATGTGAATTCTGCACGGTCTCACTTTTCTTGTTTTCAGAAAAATTATTAACAGCCACACGTCATACCTTACATGTCCGTGATCTTTCATGCGTATTTCTAGTACGTAACTGTCTGTGCTACAACTAGTAGCTATAGTACATACCACTGCTATGTGACTCGCCGATAGTGTTGCTGCAACCATGAGGCTTTCTGCCACCGTTGGGATAAAAGTCGATATGACCGCTGGGTTCTAACTTGTCGATCACTGTATAAAGAAATATAAGTTTTCATATTAATAAACAAACTTCGTCAAGTTTCAGAAGAATATCCTACTTGTTTTCTCAAATTAATCTTCTATCTAATGCCTTGTATGTAGATGGATAGATAAATGGATAGAAATAGAGAGAAGAAAGTCAGAAAGTGAAAAACCAGTAGAGTAAAACATATACAAATTAATAGATACATAAACTATTAAGGGGACTCTTAAATTAAAAAGAGTATGTGAAAAACAAAATAATAAGTTTTCTTGAAATTACAGTTTGTTTTGGATATTCGTAATAAAGTTATTCTACACCATTTTAAGTGTTTATTTCTCTTTTCGCATAACTGCTTCTTACCCCTCCCTTTTTTTTTATAATCAAAAACCAACATTATGAGACTGAATCTTGGCACAGCTTGTAAGGTAAGCCGGTTATATTACATTGTTTATTTTAAATAAACGCTCCGAAACAAGTTCTGTTTCACCTTTAATATGACGCATGGAGAGCAAGTCACGTAGAAAAAATACCTTGGTACATGCTGGTTGGATCAGAAAATGATCATTTCTGAGAGTCTTTTAATATATTTAGACTGTAAATATCGTGACTTTTAATATACTTAGACTGTAAATATCGTTAATTTTAATATACTTGGACTCTAAATATCGTTACTTTTAATATACTTAGACTGTAAATATCGTGACTTTTAATATATTTGGACTGTAAATATCGTGACTTTTAATATATTTGGACTGTAAATATCGTGACTTTTATTATATTTGGACTGTAAATATCGTGACTTTTAATATATTTGGACTGTAAATATCGTGACTTTTAATATATTTGGACTGTAAATATCGTGACTTTTAATATACTTAGACTGTAAATATCGTGACTTTTAATATATTTGGACTGTAAATATCGTGACTTTTAATATACTTAGACTGTAAATATCGTTACTTTTAATATACTTAGACTGTAAATATCGTGACTTTTAATATATTTGGACTGTAAATATCGTGACTTTTAATATACTTAGACTGTAAATATCTCGCAAGTTTCAATAAATTTGGGCCATAGAGATCGTGCCATTTAACAAGCTAAACCTTTGAAGAAACCCAACAAAAACTCTGTATAAAACACTATAATATTAAGTATATCTTGATCAATGCTACTACACATAAGGGTAAGTAGATCTTGAATGATCTCTAACTTCTCATTTTTAATTTCTCACCTTTCGGAAAATACTTCAATTATAATATAACACCGATAACTGTCTTACAGTCTTAATATTTCAGCTGGTAATTTTGGTATCGATTTTTATCTTTTAATTTCTAACCCTTTTTGAAAACACTTGAAAACAAAAGTGACAATTTTATTACTATTCAAATCTTTTCCTATGGATTTTTACATCTAAGAAAATTATAGAAACATAACACAAAACTGATAATCTTTTAATTCTCAACATTTTTCTTCTACTTTCATATTTAAAAGGAAAAAAACCCAACAAAAAAAAACCATGAGACATATACACAAAACAAATAATTTATTTTTGTTTACTTCTCACCTCTGCCGTTTACGACGATTCGCTCGTCATTAGTATGTATGACATCAACGAATTCAGCATCCGAGGGGTCCAGATGGACTTTTGGATCGGTTTTTTGGAAATATGGACCAGCTGGGTCAAGTCCTATTAAAAACAATTCATTAAAAGTTGGATGTATAAAGAAAGGCCTGTGTTAATAAACAGTCATTCTTATCATGAAATATTTTTGAAGCGATATTTCATAGAAGTTACTACTTTTGTTTTTCTCAAAATTTCTGGCTTTAAGTATTCTGTAACTGACGCATAAAATATGCTTTATCTAACTATGCCTACAGTAAAATTACATCATATAAGATTACTTACATAATACAACGTTATGTAAGACATCATATGATAGAGGTATTTCAATTTAAATAATGCTACAATAAAAATATCATTCACGCCATTTTGCTCTTACTAATGTTACCCATAATACATTTCTCCGGATAATGTTGTAGTAATGCTATGTTTTATTATTTTACTATCACTAGTGATTTAGGAAATACTTATATGTCAGAGAGCTATGCATGGCCTAGTAGTAAGAGCGCAAATTGGAAGGTCTAAAATTCGAGCTTGCTATAGAGCGTTTATCGTACTCTGTACTTTCAGCTGTGGGGGCGTTATAAAAGTCACAGTGAATCCCGCTAATTGGTTAAGAGTAGCTGTGTAGATAGCGGGTGGTACGGGCTGATTACCCGTTTTATGGCAAGCATTTCCAACTTAGGGGTGGCTATGCCTGAATCTTGAGATATTATGGCGACATTTATTTTATTCGAATGTCACAATGAAGGCACCGTACATAAGGAAAAATTTACTATAAATAGTGTCACAGTAAGTGGACCGTACAAAAGGTATATATTACTTTTGATACTGTAACAATAAGTCTGAAATGAACATGTTCGAACTGAAGATGAAAAACTTGTTTTATTAACAAAAGGTTTGAACATTGTCAAAGTTACTATTAAAAACAACAATAAATATTTACATTCAGAAAAGATTAGTTGTTATCAGAATCCTTTGATGAAGAGGAGTTGACTTAAAACTTTGCCTTACCTGTTATCCTACCAAGACCTGGAACTTTCTCTCCTGTGTATCCGGCAATATGGGCTCCCACACCTAGCCCTATGATGTGCATGTTTGATGGAGGCACAGACTGTTTTTCCTAAATTATATCATCATATGAGAATTTAAACAGCACTAGTGGATAACATAACGAAATATCTGTATTTGAAAAATATTTTAATATTCAACTGAAATATTGCTAAATATCGGTGGGTAGGGTCCATTATACTGGTTTACTCGTAAATGTTATAGTAGGTTAAGTGTTTTATACTAGCTTACTTGTAACTTTTTTGAGGATCTGATTCATTATACTGGCTTATTCGCAACTGTTTTAGTACATCGGATCCTTTATACTGCTTTAATATTAATATTTTAATATGTCAGTTCATTATACTGGTTTACTTGTATTTGCTTTTGTACATCAGATCCATTATATTGGTACATGTAGTTGCTTTTGTAGGTTAGGTCCATTATATTGGTACTTGTAGTTGCTTTTGTACATCAGATCCATTATATTGGTTCTTGTACTTGCTTTTGTAGATCGGATACATTATATTGGTACTTGTAGTTGCTTTTGTACATCAGATCCATTATATTGGTACTTGTACTTGCTTTTGTAAATCGGATACATTATATTGGTACTTGTAGTTGCTTTTGTACATCAGATACATTACATGGATACTTATAGTTGCTTTTGTAGATCAGGTCTAATACAGTGGATACCTGTTTGCTTGTACTTCGATCAGGTTCTATATATATATATATATTTAACTGGGTTTGGTACAATGATCTGGGTTTCTTGTATATTTTTTTTAGTGAGCCAGGTTCAACATACTGGCTTATTTTTAATTATTTTATTGCGTCAAGTCAGGGAAGTAGCTTTAAACATTGTGTAGGATCAATCTGTGGATCAATTAAATATAGGTTTTTTTTTCTCAGTGAAATTACTGCTTTTTCCCTCAATCTCTTGACATAAAATCTATAATAAGTTATTCTGAGGTTTTTTATTTACCATAAAACGTATAAATGCCAAATGTGTAGTTCTACTTTCGATTTTGCGCGGTTACATTCTTTCAAGAGCATCACACACGCGTCTTATAGATTTGAGATGTTCCAAGGGGAGCACAGGTTCTGAAAAATCATTCTTATAAAGTGCAATTAATCCTCAATGATTTATTGTTTTCCATATTATTCCCTTCATTTCACCCAAGTGTCAACAAGTGTGCATGACTTACTTGTAGGCCCGGCATGGCCAGGTGGTTAGGGCGCTCGTCTCGCAATCTGAGAGTCGCGGGTTCGAATCCCCGTCACACCAAACACGCTCGCCCTTTCAGCTGTGGGGGCGTTATAATGTGACGGTTAATCCCACTATTCGTTGGTAAAAGAGTAGCCCAAGAGTTGGCGGTGGGTGGTGATGACTAGCTGCCTTCCCTCTAGTCTTACACTGCTAAATTAGGGATGGCTAATGCAGATAGCCCTCGTGTAGCTTTGCGCGAAATTCAAAAACAAACAAACTTACTTGTAAAAATGTTAAAAATTCCGCGAGAATAGCTCCAACCATACGAGCATTAGCCACAGCTTGAGTGTAAGGGGAAGTGGCACCTCTGGACCAGTCCAGGGAAATGATGTTGTAGTCGTCGTAGGTCAGGAGTTCTCGAATCATTTGCTGAAAGTTAAAAATTAGATAAATATTTAAACTAAAAATTGAGTACAACTCTGTCAGTAAGACTTCTTACACGCAAACAAGATCCGGAAAGTTTTTGATGTTATAAGCATAAAACACTATAATAATAATAATAAAAAAAACAGAAAGCTTCTAGTTGATACATATTCCTAAAGTTTCGATTCCTATTATATCTTATATTTATTAGTGGGTTGTAGGAAAATCATTACTTTACTGGCCCAGAGTTACGGGTGATTCAAAGGTGAATTTTAATTACGATTAGTGTATCAAAGTGATAAAAAACTATAATCCCAGAGCTACATCTGGTTGAAAGCTGTGAGTTAACTATGATTGGTGTAGTAAGTGATAAGAAAACTATAAACCCAGAACTACATCTGGTTGAAAGCTGTGAGTTAACTATGATTGGTGTATTAAGTGATAAGAAAACTATAAACCCACAACTACATCTGGTTGAAAGCTGTGAGTTAACTATGATTGGTGTATTAAGTGATAAGAAAACTATAAACCCACAACTACATCTGGTTGAAAGCTGTGAGTTAACTATGATTGGTGTATTAAGTGATAAGAAAACTATTAACCCACAACTACATCTGGTTGAAAGCTCGGATTTAACTATGATTGGTGTCTTAAGTGATAAGAAAACTATAAACCCAGAACTACATCTGGTTGAAAGCTGTGAGTTAACTATGATTGGTGTATTAAGTGATAAGAAAACTATAAACCCACAACTACATCTGGTTGAAAGCTGTGAGTTAACTATGATTGGTGTATTAAGTGATAAGAAAACTATAAACCCAGAACTACATCTGGTTGAAAGCTGTGAGTTAACTATGATTGGTGTATTAAGTGACAAGAAAACTATTAACCCAGAACTACAGCTTGTTGAAAGCTTGGATTTAACTATGATTGGTAAATACATAACTTGGTACAAACCAGCATCCAGTCATGATTGACATCCTCCAGATAATCATGCACAAGTATCTTCACTGGTTTAGTAGGATCGAAGCCTGACTTGGAGATTTCATCAGTGGTCAGTCTTTGGAAGTAGTTAGGATTCTTCCTGGTCGTCAAGAGAAAGTTAACATTGAGGGAGTCAGGAGGGTAAGGAAACAGGTTGACTGGGCGATACAGAGAAAGGAAGGGTTCTCCGATTGAGAAACATCCTATTTTACCATAACAACGTTTAAGGACGTCATCTGTACAGAAAATGTATAAAACTGATGAATATCACCGAATTGTGAAGGAAAATATAATTTTTGTTTCATTTGAAATACACATATAAGTAAAAAATATAAAGTACTGCAAACTCTTCATAAATTAAAAAAGTCATTTCTAATTTTGTAATCAGTTATAATGATTCAAACTTAACTAAGAAATAACATTAACAACGAAATAATTTCTCTATGTTATAGCTTTTAAAGTGGGTTTGGAGGAGGGTTTTTATTTTATTTAAGGGATATTGTTGTTTGTTTGTTATTAAGCACAAGGCCACATAGGGTTATCTATGTTCTGCCCACCACGTGCATCGAAACCCGGTTTCTAACGGAATAAGTCCGCAGACATATCGCTGTGTCACTGGGGGGCTTAAAAGGATATTTTAACGTTATAAGCTGCGTTCTTTAGAATGGTCCCTCAAGTGCCGAAACATCATATCTGTCTAAGTAAATTTTTTTCGTCAAAAGCTACTGCAAAAGAAGTAACTTACAAAAATTCTTATTACTAGTAAGTAAACTCAAATGAAATTATTAACAAGGAATGGAAAAAAGCTTTTAGAAAGTGAACTTATTGTATATCACCATATTAGGACTGTTCCATAGTTTACTGATGTATAGTTATATGAATAAATAAAACACAGAATCAAACTGAAGACTATTAGAAGTGTAAACAGAGTTTGAAAATAGTCAACGGTCCACAATATAAAGTCTTGTAATTGGTCTCTCTAGAAATGTTCAGAACTTATAGTTACGATAGTCTCTATAAATATTCAAATCTAGTTTCGGTCCTAACTGTAAAATTTTAAATCGATTGTTTGTCATAACTGTCAATTTGAAATCTAATGTTTACCATAACTATAAAATTTTAAATCGAATGTTTTTCCTTAGTGTAAAATTTTAAATCTAATGTTTACCATAACTATAAAATTTTAAATCGAATGTTTTTCCTTAGTGTAAAATTTTAAATCTAATGTTTGTCCTAACTGTAAAATTTTAAATCTAATGTTTGTCCTAACTGTAAAATTTTAAATCTAATGTTTGTCCTAACTATAAAATTTTAAATCGAATGTTTTTCCTTACTGTAAAATTTCAAATCGAATGTTTGTCCTAACTGTAAAATTTTAAATCGAATGTTTGTCATAACTGTAAAATTTTAAATCGAATGTTTGTCCTAACTGTAAAATTTTAAATCGAATGTTTGTCCTAACTACAAAATTTTAAATCGAATGTTTTTCCTTACTGTAAAATTTTAAATCGAATGTTTGTCATAACTATAAAATTTTAAATCGAATGTTTTTCCTTACTGTAAAATTTTAAATCGAATGTTTGTCATAACTATAAAATT